ATGGCCCCGCCCCCGCCCCGTGGTTCCGGGTTCGATCCCGGCTCCGCCCGGTGCCGCGCCCCCGCCGGACCCCCGGTCCCTTCGCCCCCCTTCCCCGGGACAGCGCCACTGCGCGGGCGCCCTGCGGGGATCCCTTGCGGGGACGGTGTCCGCACCCGCTGTGTCGGTGCCGGAAGCGGTGCGGACCCGCCCGGTGCCGCCCCGCCCCGGCGCGCTCCCGCCGTTCCTCCCCGCGGGGACGCGCAGACCCGCCCGGCGCGGCTGGACTCTCCGGTAAGAGCGGCACCGGCAGCGGGATCGCGAACGGAGGCGGTGAGGCTGGCGGGGCGCAGCACGGCTGGTCCGGTCCCGTCCCGGTGCCGGTCCCGTCCCGGTGCCCCTCCCCTCCCGGTGCCGCCCGTCCCAGGCGGTGCTGTCCCCGCTCCCCGCACGCTGCTCTCACCGAGCCCCGTCCATTCCGCTCCCTCCTCTCCCGCCCGCCCGCGGCAGCTCCAGTCCCGGTGCCGGTCCCGGTGCCGGTGCCATCCTGCCCCGCCCTGGCAGCCCCAGGTCCCGGCGCGGCCGCGGCTCTGCTTCCCCCGGTTCCTCCCCGGGGCGCTGGGGGGTTCAGGGGCTGTGCCGTGTCCCGGGGCTCGGGGTCTCCCGGCACATGCTCCGGGTGCCTTGGCCCCTCCGGCTGCAGGGGGAGCGATGCCCGGCCCGGGCACCCCCGGACCCCGGGACCCTCCCGGACAGCCCGGCACCATCCTCCCGGCCGGCAGCGACGCTGCCCGCTCCGCGGCACCTCGGCCCCGCCGCCCCGGAGCTCCGTGCGGGGCGGGCCCGGGGACGCCGGGCCCCGCTCTCGGGGTGCCGGGGGTCCCGGGGCAGCGGGAGCCAGCGCCCCTCGCCCATGCTCGTCCCTCTCTTGCAGCCAGGCCGCTCCATGCGCTTGCCCCGCGGCGCCTGAGCCCCGCAGCCCTCGGCAGGTGAGTGACGCGGGCTGGGGTCCCGCCGCGTGTCCCTGTCACACGTCTGCAGCCCCCCGCTCCCCGCAGGGCTCCGCAGGGCCAGGAAGGGGTCTGGGGTCATGCAGGCACCCTCCGCCGTCCTGCTGCCCCGGGACGGAGGGTCCGAGGGCCCGGGAGCCGCGCGGTGCCCGCCGGGGACCGGGCACTGCCCCTTGCGAAACAGCCGGGGTTGAGCAACGCCGGGCACGGCTCCAGCCCGGGGCTCTCCCACGGAGCGTGGGCTCCGCGGCCCCGGAGCGCGCCCCGGGCAGCGGGCAGCGGGTCGGGCTGGGAGCAGGCTGTGCGGGCCGCCTTGCCCGTGCTGCCTCTCGCCAGCTGCAGAGACCCTTTCGGTCTTCGGTGCGGTGTCAGGATTTGGGGTCGCTCCGTAGTGGAATTATGCTGGCAGCTCCCAAAGCTGCGGGAAGGGCTCCGTGCCTGCCCCGTCCCCCCTCGCAGGGGGCTCCAGCTGGGAACCTGCTGTCGAGCCCTTCGGGGTCGCTGCACCACTTCAAGCGGTTGCCAAAAAACCGGGATTTGATCGTTCTAACGATCCGCTGGCACCGGCGCCTGCGCCTCCCCGCCGGCAGCCCTTCCGCCGGGCGCGGGGAGCTCTGTACCTGCTTTGTCACCTGTCCCGGGCGGGCGGCGACGCTGCGGGAGATGGGGCTGCCGCAAGGGTCCGGAGGACGGGCCGGGGGACCCTGCTGGCCCCTCCTGTGCCCTGGGCAGGGCTGAGGGTGACCCAGGTGCCACCCTGCCGGAGAGCGCCGTCCCAGCCGGCGGAAGGGAGGGACCGTGGGAGCCTGTCCCCGCGCTGTCCCCGTTTCAGCCCCCACAGTCGCAGGCTGTCATTAGCCGGGCCGGGGTGGCCGCAGGGGCCGGGCTGGCTGCCGAGGGCGCCGCGCTGGGCATTCCAGGGGCGCCAGGCCAAGGGGTGGGCACAGCCCTCGCCGAGGTGGGACCCTGCCCTTGCGGAGGGGGTCGTGTCCCCTGTGTCCCCAAAGACGCCCGGGGCGGGGTCGCCACGGGAGCCACGGCGAAGGACTTGGCAGAGCTTCACTGTTTGGAGCCGGGGCTGCTCCGCGGAACAAAGGCTCGCGCTCCCGCCGCTGCTCCCGCGGCTTGTTTTCCTCCGGAGCCGGTGTAAAACTGCGGGCAGCGCTCGGCAGCTCCGGGCACGGCGCCGCTGCCCGCGCTCCTGCCCCGGAGCGGCCTCGCCCCTGCCGGGCCGGGGGTCCCGGTGCTGCCCGCCGGACCGGACCCCGGCCTGGGGGTGGGAGCGGCGGGAGCCTTGGCTGACCGGCTCGGCGGGTGATGGGGTGAGTGGGGCGAGCCTGTGCGGGCACCGGGGCCGGCACAGCGGGAGCGGCACCTCCTCGGGGGCTCCGACAGCCGAGGGTGGGTGGGTGGGCGGCGTCCGGCCCTGCCGCAGGTGACACTGTGGCTGTCCCTGTGCCAGACCACCGCTCCACGGTATCCCACCCTGCAGGGACCAAAGTGTCAATGGTCTCTGCAGGACTGTGCGGGCAGCTGTGGCTGTCCCCTCCTGGGGCTGGCACGGGGACAGTGGCAGGGATGGGGACAGTGGCAGGGATGGGGACAGTGGCAGGAGGCTCTTGCAGGTCTGGTGCTGCATGGGGGGGTCCTGGCCTCTCTGGGGTGGCAGAGGGTGCACTGGCACATCGGTGACAGTGGCAATGACAGTGGTAGTGGCACCATGTGGGTGCAGAGCTGTGACTCATCTCCAGATCCGGTGGTTTTGAGGTCGTGGGCAGGGGGGCGGTGAACATTTTTGGTGTTGGTTTCTGCAGTTTCAGCGTGTGAAGCTCTGCTGGGTGGCAGCCAGTGGTGCCTGGCCCGGCTCTGTCCCGTGGGGCTGCAGGGTCCCAAGTGCTTCTGCTGGGTGGGGTCTGGGGGCACACTGGGTGCCAGTGACACCCACGGGTCTCCCAGAGCAGCCAGGTGAGCAAGGGGCTGCAGGGAGATGGGGGGTGGGCATCTTTGGGGCACCCACTGGGGCTCCCCCATTTCAGGCTGCAGGGAACTGGGGGTCTCCTGACTTCCCTTTTCCATGGACATGTCTGCCCAGGCGAGGGGCACAGCCTGAGCCGTGCTGGCCTCGCCCCAGCCATTCCTCCTGCCTGGCACACGCCGTGCTGGAGGGTGCTGCCAGCAGGGAGGCCACAACAGACACGGTGTGCTGTTCCTTGTCACCAGGGGGGCAGCTGGTGTCACCGCCAAGGCTGGGGAATGTGCTACGGGGGTTTCCATCAGCCTTGATGCCAGTGTGAGCACCATCATGGGTGGCACATGTGTGTGCAGGAGATGTTCTGGCAGGAGCCATGCTGCTACTGTTAGTGGGGGCACTGGCATGAGAGGGGGCAGGAGGACACTTGGTGCCCTGGGGGTTCCCCACCCCGAGTCTTGTCTCTTCTCTGAGCTATGGACGTGGTAGTCCTGGTGTGGATGTGTGACCTGGCTTCCCAGGACGTGGGTGTCCTGGCTGTGATTGTCCAGGATGTCCTGTTGTGGCTGCCCAGGATGTGATTGTCCCAGCACAGATGTGGCTGTGGTTGTCCCAATGTCCAGGACACAGTTGTCCAGGTGTGGACAGGTGTATCCCGGTGTGAATGCCAGCGCTGTTGTCCCACTTCCCACCGTGCTCAGCCCGCTGCCCCGGTGCTGGGGGTGCCGGAGGTGGGTCCCGGCACAGCCTGGGTCCAGGAGCTCGTGGGCCCTCTGGGGCAGCCCCGAGGCAGTGTGGGGCCAGGGCCGAGCCCTCTAATCGCCTCAGCAGCTCAGGCAGGCCAGGGCCGGTCCCAGGAATGTGACTCCGGCGGCGCGGGAGTGGCCGTGGCAGCGGCGCTGAGCGCCCGTGGCAGCGGCAGGTCACTCCCGGCGCTGGCAGCCGCCCGGAGCGCGGTCCTGCCCCGCTTACCGGGGCGGCCCGGCCTCGCACAAGGGGCCATTGTGCCGCGGGGCGCGGCCGGTGGCAGTGCCAGCGCCGACACTGTCACGGTCCTGTCGCCCGTGGCCTCGGGTGTGTGTCCTGACCCTTCTGCCCGGCAGGAGGGCGAGGTGGCGGCACTGCAGCCAAGCGGTGACGGTGGGACTGTCCTGGGGTGTCTGCTCTGGAGCCGTCCCCCCATCGCAGGGTGCCGGAGCGTCCCGGGAGTGGGGTTGGCCACAGGGCACCAATCAAGGCTTGTTCTGGCCCCTTTCCACCGGGCTGGTGCGAGCCCTGAGCCGTTCCCGGCCACTGCTCCTCCGTGACTCAGCGACTGCCGTGGAAAGCAGAAGTGTCCCCCCGTGCCCCCCCAGCTGTCCGTCATCCTTTCCAGCGGGGTCATGCCCCTGGCTCCCGGAGGCCACATGTCCCCAGTGTCACCATCCTGCCGGGCCCCTGCTGTGGTGCCTGGGGGCCAGGACCCCTTTTTGGGTGTTTTGGTGAAAGCACGACATTCCCGAGAACAATCCCAGTGTGTTCCCAAACTAATCCCGAGCTGCCCACGAGATTAAGCCCAAAAAGCTGCTTAGTGCCCACAGCGGCGACACCGTGCCATGCCGGCGGCCCGGCACCCGGCGAGGGGGTGGCCCAGCCCCACGTCCCCCCCGTGGGAGGGTCCCGTCCCGAACTGGGGGGTTGAATGCTGGCGGCGGCTTGGCGGGCGCCCCAGGAGAGCGGCGTGGCAGGGCGGATAATCTGCCTGCTGGAATGTGGATGTGCTGGCTCCGGCCCCGGACGGGAGTGGGGATTAGGGAGAAGCCGGAGCAGGGTAGCACCGAATTTCGGGAGTAGGTGGGAGTCAGGGCTGCGGTGAGGCT